CCAAAATACATACACACCCGGAAACTATCATGGAAACCCCACAAAGAGCCCTATAAAGACTACAGTCCTTCCAAAACGGGACCATATGGGTTTCCATGTTAGTTTGGGGGAGTGTAGACTGATATGTTGAGACATCCCCAAAGAGGCTATACCTCAAGATCGACTGCTGGAGGTACTGGATCTTCGGCCTTACCTAAACCCCCAAAGTATGTAACATAATAGCCCTAAACCCATAATAATAACCATAAGGGCTATAATTCGGTTTTGATACATACCCATGTACCAAGCGAAGCAGTAACCTTTAAATCTTGGCTCTAGAACCACAGCCCATGTAACAAGATCCTATGCCTAGTAGCTTGATAGCTCGAAGCCCTAAACCCCCAAATCCCTGAACCCCAGCCAGGGGACCAGCAAACTAGGAAACGCCCGTCTGCTGGCCCCAGAATCTAAATCCATCAGCCGGGATCCCTATGGGCCCCCTTAAGTAGAGAGAATACGGGGTATATGGGGATCTTAGTAGAATATACCCAAAGCCAAAATCTATTTAGGGGGGACTATAGGTCCTCATCTGCAAACGTACTGGTTGTTTGGAGGGAAGGGAGGAATTGATGCCTGTAGTAGTCCCTATATCATCCCGTACTAGCAACCAGCAAGCAAAGCCTCCCGAAGCCCTAAACCCGAAACCCGAACTCCTAAACCTTAATCCCTAAATCCCAAAAGCTCATCCCTCAAACCCTGAACTCCTAAACGCTAATCCCTAAACCCTAATCCCTAAACCCTAATCCCTAAACCCCAATCCCTAAACCCTAACCCCTAAGCCCTAAACCCTAAACCCTAAAACCCCAAAGCTCAAAAAGGATATGAGGAGTGCGACTTAGCAGGCTTCCTCCTGGCCAAGCTGAAGCGAGGTCCAGCAGAGTTCGAGATTCTTGTGGATTCAGGGTTAAGGGCGGTTAACTGGGTAGGCCCTGACTCTTGGGGTTTGGGGTTTAGGGTTCAGGGTTTAGGGTTTAGGGTGGGTAGGCCCCTGAAATATTTACTATTTTCCCTATTGGCTTTACTAAGGGACCCTATATACTAATATTTTTCAAAGGGCTTTAGGGGCCAACCCAGAGGGTCTACTAACCCTAAACCCTAAACCCTAAACCCTAAACCCTAGTGTGAAGGCTCTAGTGTCTAGTGTTTCGGCTGATGGAATTTGTCAGGGTTTAGGGTTTAGGGTTTAGGGTTTAGGGATTTAAGGTTTAGGGTTTAGAAGTTTAGACTGAAGGAATTAGGTTTTAGGATTTAGAGTCGAGGGTTTGAGGGGGTTTAGGGCTTTTTGGTCCTGGTGCCTCAGGCGTTACGGGTTTTAGCCTTTGGGGGTTGAGGCTCCATAGAGTCTGGAGTTCAGCACTCAGGGTTTAGAGTTTAGGCTCCACGCTTGAAGGTGCTTCGGGCTAATTTCGTGCTGGGGATTCCTAGCACCCCACACCCTAAGCCCTAAAGCTGAAACCTTAAAGCTGAAACCCTAAATAGTATGGCAGTTTCCCGAACTAGGGGGACCCCAATATAGACCCCAAAATACTACACTATAATCCTTATTATGGGGACCCCTAAAATGGTACCCTTAATTTTGGGAAACTACAGTATAGTAGTTTCCATCTCTCGGAGGGCCATTTCGGCTCCCAGCTGCCTTTTGGGCTAGCTTTTTTAAAGGAAAACAGCTTCGAAGCCTCGCTTGCCACTGCACCCGCCATGTCGAAGGCTGACAAAGCCACCGTGTACCTAGGCCTTAGTTATATAGGGGTTATATAGGAATAGTGGAAAAGAAAATTGAAACTACTGTATAATGTATTTGACCTAGGCCTTTGCTTGGGGGAACTGCTGTGGGGTGGGGGCCCAGGGTTTTTGGGATTGCAAAAGGTTTTTTTTGCGAGAGTCTACATCGGTCAGGGCAATTTGCGTCGCGTGATTGTCACGTCATCATCATCATCACCGTTGCTGTTGCAGTCGCCGTCGCCCTCTCCGTCGCCGTCGCTCTCTCCGTCACCGTTTCCGTCGCCGCCGTCGCTGTTGCCGTCGCAGTCGCCCTTGTTGCCGCGCAAGTTTTGGATATCTTCCAAAACTCAAAGCTACCAGGGGAGGAAATTCTGCTGTGAATGAACACTGATGCCCCATGTGGCATAACCTTGTTGCGTTTTCAGTTGAGTACCACAGTTGTTTTCCCGAAATCCGGCTGGACACTGTCCGGCAAATACTCAGCAGGTGATCAGAACCTGGTCATGGTTTTCAGGGCTTAGGCTCTGGTGCATCAGAATTAGGCATTTCTGGGTGTTTCAAAGGTGTTGCATGGATGCATAGCTAAAGGAAATGCTGCTCGCGTTGGCATTTATGATTATTCTTGGAGGGTGGAATTTTCCGTTAGCCTAGAGCATCGCACGCCTGCAGGTTTCTGCGCGGAACTGCCAGGCTAATGTGCCCGATCGCTTTGCTTACTGGTTGTTAGTAGACATGAAGGATGGACGCATTGTATAAGGGCTACTGTAGGGATCCATTCCTCCATTTCATGCTTACAACTAGTAAGTTTGGGTCGAGCCCGGGCAGAACACTCAAATGATATAGTTGGGAGTGCATGGCCAGACTAAAAGCAACCCTGTGCTTACAAAACCCCTAGGCCGCTGCACTCTATATTACTTCCCATCAAGTTAATAGTCGCAAAAAAGGTGCAAAAGTACATATTTCTCTATAGTAGTACAAATACAACAAAAATAGCAATTGCAACAACAAAAAGAGTAATCAGAACAGTGATTATAATCACCGAAAAACAGCAAGAAGAATGCCCATCCAGCCTAGGAGTGCGTTTGGCACCATGGACTGCGCCAGGGGCGTGCGGGGTGTGCTGTACGGGATCTGCTTCTTCCTTCTCTTCCTTTGGGCAACCCTGGGCGGCACATCTTGAAATGAGTAGTATTTTATTTGGGGATACTATGGTACCCAATATTATAGAGTAAGATTATATCATCCTTTTGGGATAGTATCTTACATCAGGAATATTATCTTCCTGGGCTTAACAACCAAAAGAAACCTACCCAAGTGGTCTCTCTACGTCCCTATCTACAGCTGCATAGGGGGTTTCCAGCCCCCTTTTCTTGGGAGTCCCTATATGGAGTACTTCGATCTTTGGGTTTTACTGTATCATGAAATCCCCATAGCTGTCCGTAGATATTCCTCCATACCCTTTAGCATCCTCATGCACACCTCCGTGTATGTCATCTTGCGCTGCTCTAAAACATGTGCGGCTCCAGGATTCCCTAAAAACGTCCCCACATCTTCAATGGTAAAAGACCCCTGTGTTAGGGGTTCAGGGTTTAGCAAGCCGAGTTGTGGTCGTAGGAATATCCGATCTTAGTACTTGGAGTTGCAACAGAGGGTTGTGGTCTTGGACGTGAGATTTTCATGTTTTTGGCCGAGGGGTAGCACCAGGGATTACGGCCACAAAGCTGAACGCACCCGTGGAAAGAACAGGTGCGTCTTACAGGGGGTTAGTAGGGAAGAACGGAATACATTGCATGGGAATGATACAGGGATTATATTCCCTTATTCCTTACTAACCACTGATGAGGAGTGGAAGCTGTCGCAACTCCTCTGTTTCCTGTTGTGGGTTGCGTGCCGGGGGTATCTTGTGTATTTCCTCGTTCAAAGCTTTATCGCCTCTAGGGGCGCAATCCCCAAGATCTGCCTCTTAGTTCTAAACTCTTTAAGGGGTTTAGGGTTTAGGGTTGAACATTGTGATAAGGGCCCACCTCCGCGTTTCAAAGTTTCGTGCCGCAGTTTCGGACATTAAGCCCGGTGGAAAATGATTCCTGGAGCCTTTGCAATTTCCGGTTAGGTCAATCCCCCACCCTGTTATGGGTAGCACAAAGCACTATTGTAGGTATATGCAGGTCATCGTAACTCCCATATTTATGCGCTGTGCGAGAATTAAATGGACAAGAGCGTGGAGAATGAAACGGGAACTGGGGTTGTGCAGGGGTTGTACGGATAATTGCCAACATCGTGGTGTCAGGTTCCTTCTAGGATTATAGTATAGGCTAGGGCACCCCACATGGACCTCAAAAATACGTTCATAATTATTTCGGCCCCTGTATGAGGCTACTTTCTTGTCTACATCCAGTACCTCCCACCGGATCCCACCGATGACTACTGCGGCATTACTGCCTTCCTGTGTCTCGGGTATCGGTGGGAGATTGTTTGCTTCCATGAAGCCTACGAACACATCCCTTCCTGGAACCCTAAAACTAGAAACGTCCTAAAGGATTTCCAAACCTGACATCTGGAACTGGAGGCTAGGGGTTTCGACTATTAGTTGCCTAAACTCTCAACTCTAAGCATTCTTCTTGGACTCCCGGAACCTCAAGCTAGATTTCTGCACCGTTTTTTGAACAGCTGCCAAAACAGTAACACAAACACTGTTGATGGAGGAAATCTTGCACCCCCTACTGACTGGTCCTAAAGCATTGTTATTTCTAGGACTTTAGGGATGTTCAAGGATGGAGGCAATACTTGCCTGAGTAGCATTGTTGGCCGGGATCTATAGTCTTAAATGTAAAGGCTCTCCTGTTGGGTATAATCTTCCTTGGGACAGCCGCCCAACAACCCTAAACCCTAAACCCTAAACCCTACACCCTAAACCCTCCTTCTCACGTGAAGAGGGGCTGTGTTAGGTGCTTGTGGCTCTCAGTCTTTGCCTTCGTTGACAACCCGGGCGAAGTCCGAACACGGATCCAGAAGTGGGAGGAGTAGAACCCTAAAACCCAACCCCTGAACCACCTTAAGCCCAATTCAAAACCTTGTAAAACCCTTTTATACAAAAACAGTTTCCATATAACTGTTTTGCATGGTGTTTCCATTTGCTTCTCTCCATTATTCTACCCCTCAACAGGAGTTCATCACTACCCCAGTATAGCCCCCTACATGCCGTGTGACCTAGAATGCTCCCTTAAGAGGAGTTCATCACCATGTGGGTGTTGACCAGTGGCCTCGCCCAGTGCTTGTGGGAACTGCCATTTGTACTGTGGAAGGCACGTTTGGGGTTTGGGGTTTTGCGTTGTCAGGGCCCAGGGTTTAGGATTCAGGGTTGAGGGCTTGGAGCTGTGGGTTCTTAGCTTAGGATGTGAGGTTTGGGGTTCAGGGGTTAAGTTTGAGGCGGGATCGGATTGAATGGAGGGTTCAAGGTCTAGGCTTAGTGTTTCGTTCCCCTCAGGGGCGCTGAGCTGAGTTTGTTGAGGGAGGTCTGCATGGGACAAGTGCATGCTTCTGGACTTGTGCCGCATGATTTTCGCTAGCCTTCACACCCACTCAGACGTCCAAACAGCACAGGATTCCGTACCACCTTTGTCCCGTTTAATACATTGAACTGGGTTTCGTGGACAAGGGCTTGAGGCGGTGAACCTCTAAGAGGTTTCTACAACATACCAGCTTGCTATACCCCCCCCCAACAACCAGAAGACTGGCATTCATTTAGATCTTAGAAGAAGTCACGCAACTCACCCTATAAGAGGACGTCCGACAATCCCGACCCCTAAGTTTAAGTCTCTATAAGAATCATGCGGCTATGATAGGGTCCTGATTTTGGGGGTTTGATTGGGGTTGCCGAAGCCCTTTCACCCCTAGACCCTAAACCCTAAACCCTAAATCACCACGTCGCGCCGAATTCAAAAAGCAAAACTTGGAAACCCTGCAGTCTTGAGACGGAAGAGGTTTCCAGGACCCATTGGGGCAATATTGCAATGGAAGCTATTATATGATAGGGTAGTAATGGGGTTATATTGGGGAATATAGGGATAATGGCGAAGAAAATGGACACTACTTTAATATCAGGGTTATATTATGGCTATAAGGGGGTTATAATGGGGATATATATAGGGTGATATAGGGATAATGGAAAAGAAAATGGAAACTACTATAATATTGGGATTATATAGGGGTAATATTGGGATAATGGAAAATAAAATGGCAGCAACTATTCAGGGTTTAGGGTTTAGGGTCCCCCACTGCAAGCATGGAAGTATGATCCCGGAATGATCCCCTATTCAGACGACAGTAGCGTTGGCCCTCTTTACCCTAAACCATAAACCCTAAACGCCTAAATAGTAGTTTCCATTTCATTTTCCATTATCCCAATATTACTCCTATCCCAACCATTACCCCTATATTTACCCTACTATAATATAGTAGTTTCCATTGGGGGAAGGTGAATTTTGACTTTTGACCAGCGGTGGGTAAGCCCATAAACTTCATGAAAGACTCCACGAAGGGGCGCGCACTGTTTCTAGTCCAGGGTTTAAGACCCTAAACCCTAAACTGCTCCAGAAGTGGATTGAGTTGAAGGTGTATAGCTAACGCACAAAAGCACAGCACAATCCTTGCCTCATACTGAAAGGTCCCTGCCACCCCCTAACATGAACATGTACCTCAAGTAATGAGCTAAAATGAATTGGGCGGACATAGGGCGGGGGTCTGTTGCATATGCAGGGAAAGGATTGTTAAAGGCTGCCGGAACCCAAAATCTAACCTGAACTCCAGCTAGTGGCTTCCATTTTCTGCTAACCCTATACCCCCCCCCATAAGTAGATGGAATATGGTGTATATGGGAATTTTTTCATTCTACCCAAAGCCATATTCTATCTACTTAAGGGGGACTACAGCCCTAAATTTTGGCTTCCATTTTTTTCCTCTATTCAGCAAAATACGACACAGTAGCAAGCCCTTGGGGCATGGTCTCTGAAGCTGTTCGAAGGTGCGATACTTGCAGCCGCTGAAATCCACCCAAACGCTGGAGGCCCATTGCTGTAGACCTGTAGAACCATCATGGCCACTACTTTGTTCCCCTTTTCCCCTCCTGCTGTACTGCTAGTACTAGTGCTGCTTCTCCGCCTCCTCTTTCTGCTGCTACTATTGCGACTCATCGTCCTAGTTGTTTGTAGGATGTATCCGTTTGAAGTACATGGTTGTTGCTGCTGCTGCTGCTGTTGCTGCTGTTGCTGCCGTTCTTCAACTCTTTAGGATGTCCTTAAGGGGGGGTGGGTCCAAGGGGGGTAGGTAACCTAGTAATCCCCATGATTCCCTTATACTTATACTCCCTAAGCTTTCTTAAGGCCCTCCCTGAACCCCCCGCTTTAGGATCTTATAAGCTCTTGTCATCCTGACGCCTGCCACTTCTGTTGTCTCTGAACCCTACACCTCAGCCTACAGAAGTTTCGAAGCTGAAGGATTGGGGTTTAGTCCCCAAAGTAGATAGAATGTAGGGTTTAGGGCTTAGGGTTAAGGGTTTATGGTTTAGGGTATAGTCCCCCTTAAGTAGATAGGATATAGGGACTAGGGTTTAGGGTTAAGGGTCCCCCTTAAGTAAATAGAATATGGGATATATGGGGATCTTATTCTAATATAGCCTCAACCCTCAACCCTAAACAGCGAATTCCACAGCTTTAAAAAGCATTCCAGTTCTGTGGCAGGTGATCATCGCATAAGATAAGGGTCGTGGTTTAGATGAAGGCTGTCTTTCGTAATAATGTTTATAAAATATGCGACAAAGCTTCAACCTCAAATTCTGCCAATCTGAACCAGAAATTTTGGATCCTTAACCCTAAGCCCTAAACCCTAAACCCTAAACTTTAAACCCTAAACTCTAAACCCTAAACTCCTAAACCCTTCAGAAATTCAGCTTTCGACCTCTGGATGGTCCGCAGATCTTCCCGCTTTCGAAGGATGGCTTCCTACCTATTCATAAGAACCCTAAACCCTACACCTTAAACCTCCTAAATCCTAAGCCATAAACCCTGGACCCTCAATGATACCAGCTGAAGTGTCCTAAGCCGAAAAGGCAAAACCTAGGAATCATGAGGAGATTATCATTAGGTCCTCCGGAAACTTTTTCGAAGTTCGTAGACTCTCCTCCCCAACCCCTCCCCTTCCCAGCTCCCCTAAGAATGAATTATTCTCTCCGTTTTTGGCCATTGTCTAATCGTGGGAGGTTGTTGCTTGCGGGAGGGGGCTGGAAATAAGTATACTTGGAAGGGCTCCGCGCCACTAGTTCTACGCAGAATCCCGTGGCTGGCAGGTAGCAACAAGGTGTGCAGTCTGTCATAAGTGTTTAGGGTTTTGGGATCCATGGGACTTAGTAACTAATTTACTCCTGATGCATAACAGAGGTACTTTGCTCGCTTTTAGGAGTTGCAAGTATAGTTACAGATGCCCCCCTGACTCTCCAACTAGGGCCTGATATTCGTCCTCTGCCTAAGGGGTTCGATATTAAAAGAATTTTTGAAACGCTCACAATTTCAGCACCTTCTGAGCATGAAGCCCAAAACCGTAAATCCCGAAGCCCTAAGCAGTTAACCTAAACCGTAAAGCCAAACGTACTCCTGTTAGCAAGGAACGAATGAAGGAATGGATCCTCACAGCAGTCCCTATATAACCACCAAGAATATGGTAGTTAGGATTTTCTTTCCCTTCCCTCATTCCCTGTTACGCAAAGGTGAGTATCATAACCCCTGCATCTAAACACCAGTTTTCAGTTGATTGTCCATTTTCTTTTGCATTTGATTCTGCGTATTGGGGCGATATCTCCCGGAGCCCTAAACTCCAAACCCAAAACCCAAAACCCAATCCCTATAACCATGCCTTTGCCATAACTCCAAACCCTAAACTCCAAACCCCAAAGCCCTAAAACCCAACACCCTAAACACAAAACCCTAAACCCCAATCCCTCAGCCACAAACTCTATACTCCGCAATCCCTGAACCTCAATCTTGGGTACTGCCCCCACTCATTAGCAGTTGGATAATATTCATAATATAAATATATAGAGCCCTTAATATGGCCCCTAGTATAGACGGTTAATGGGTGGGGGCAGGACCCAACCTCAATCCCTAAACCCTAAACCCTAAATCCCTAAATCCCTTAATCCCTAAAACCTTGCGTCTGCCCTTCAGAGGTTGACGAACTCTGGGCCTGGCCCTTCTGGATGTCCCACGGCTTCACAAGAGCTATAGTCTAAAGGGTTTAGGGTTTAGGGTTTAGGGATGAGGGTTTAGGGATGAGGGTTTAGGGTTTAGGGTTTAGAGTTTATAGTCTAAACTCCTTAAAGGGGGCATATATAGGGCATTATTTAGGGTTTAGGAGTTTAGGGATTAGGGTTTAGGGTCTAAACTCCTTAAGTGGGGATTTATAGGGGATTATTTCGGCTTTAGGGCTTAGGGTTTAGGGTCTAACATCGTTAAAGGGGGGCTATAGAGGGGTATATCTGGGGGACTGTTAGAGGGCTTACTTGAAGGGGGTTACTAGGAATTCAGACTATGGGTCACAAGGGTTTTCTAGGGTTTAGTGGTTAGAGTTTTGGGGATTTACAGTTTAGGGGCTTCGGGATTTAGGGATTAGGGGGATTGGTGTTTAGGGTTAGCAGTTCAGGGATTTAGGCTTTGGGGATCAAGCGATTGCGGATTAAGGGATTTGAGGATTTGAGGTTTCAGGGCTTCGGTTTTGGGGTTAAGGGGCTTAAACTTGATTCTAATCCTAAGCCCTAAACGTTTGGGTTGGATTTAGGACGGGAAGTGCAGCGATGGCTATCGTATTCAAAGGCTTAGGGGGAAATTTTGGGAATGGACATGCAAACTATTGTATTATAATAGGGTAAATATGGGGGGTAATATAGGAATAATGGAAAAGAAGCTGGAAACTACTATAACATAATAGGGTATATGACAGCTTGTTTTCATGGTTCTTCAGCGCTTGACGTGAGAGCGAGTGAGAGAGTGAGTTACTGGGGGTTACTAGGGAACAAGGGATTATGTTACATAGGGGTTATGTACATACAACACCTTCCTTAATTGCCTGTAACCACCAGCAAGGAGAGATCGGCACCGACTCTTTTCATAGGTTTTGGGCTATTATCCAGCTAGATTTGGGGTCCAAGTATAACTCCATGCATAATTAGATCATACCTCGTTGTGGATGCAAGGATTTGCAATTCAGGGCGTTCTGACAGCTGCGCAATATAGGTTATGAGACTATGACTATGTCTTCATTTTGGGTACTGTATTTGGTGAGAAAAAGCGAACGTATCTTGCTCGGTTCAACCATCACCCCAGACCCTTGGGGGCATTAACAAACCTAACCCGAAACCCTAAACCCCAAACCCTAAACCCAAAAAGAAGCACCCCTTCCCTTTACAAGGTATGGCTCTGGTGACACTCGTGGCTTGTCAGGGCGATTGTGGCGATTAGTGTACAGATAGTTACCAGGGACGCAGGGTTTAGGGATTCGGGTTTTAGGGTTTTAGGGTTTAGGGTTTAGGCGTAGATTTGTATATATATATATAATAGGGTTCAGGTTTAGGGTTTAGGGTTAGCAGGAAATCCCTTATCCGGGATTCACCCCCAAGTAAGTTACAGGGGCGGAAGGTTCATCGGGCCCTGGACTTGGATTCTGCGCGGTTTGGCATGGAGTTAATTGTATGCTAGAGTGGTGGTTTGAAGAGGTTTAGGTTGGGTACTGCCCCCACCCAGTAACAGTCTATATTAGGGGTCCTATTAAGGGCTATATATACCCATATTAGAATTATTATCCAACTGTTATTGAGGGGGGGCAGTACTGAAAGTTCAGGGTTCAGGCTTTAAGGTGCCATTTTGCGTTCAGAATTGCAGTTGGAAGGCGGCCTCCAAGGTTTCGAATGAGGATTTCAGGTAGGGATTCTGGCTAGGGCTTTGGAATGTAAGGTTCCTATTTAGTAGTCTTTTTTTCCAGTATCCCAACATAGCCCTTATATAACCCTATATAACCCCATATAATATTGGTAATTATCTAGGCCCCTATACTAGTCCTTTCAGAGTAGAAGGGCAGGACTGGGCTGGTTTCTCCAAAGTTCTTGCACGTAGCACCAAGCCTTGCTTTGCTTCAGCAAAACCCCAACTATCAGAAAAAGAAGCTTCTGAGCACATTATGAGAATATACAGGGTCCTTACTACCGAGGGGCAGCGCCGGGGACTACAACCATTATTGTGCCTTGTGCAAGATTGCTCTTGGATTGCCTGGACCCTGAGGGCAGGCGAACCGTAAGCCACGAAATGTAAAACATCAAACCTTAGATCCTGAAACCCTAAACCCTAAATCCCAGACACCTAAACAACTCAAACCCTAAACCCTGAACCCTGAACCCTAAACCCTGAACCCTGAACCCAAGGCTACATGCGCCAGCACTCCTCCTCGCATGCCACGGAGACGATGCTCGTCATCTCGGGGCCGTTCGAGCTTGCTGCCGTGGCGATGTTCAAGGCTCCCACGCTTACTGGGGGGTCAGTAGGGAACAAGGGGAACAGATGTGTGGGTTTTGGGTTTAGGGTTTAAGGTTTAGGGTTTAGGGTTTAGGGGGGATCCCTATAGTAATTGCTCCTTAATATGGAATGAATAGGGCCTTAATCTACCTACAATAGTCCCTTGTGGTACCCATTGCTGGGTGGGGGATTGACCCTAGGGATAATATGGGTAGTTCCCGAAGAAAGGACCCATTTTGGTACCCCTGTTTGCTAGATGCCGTAATATAAGCTATAGCCAAAGGGGCCCATCATTTAGAGAACCCAAAAAGGGATTGTGTTCCCGTATTCCTTGCTAATCACCAGTCAGCATTGGGGACGCTAGGGAATGGGTTTAGGCCTTCAGGTTTAGGGTTCAGGGCTAAGGGCTTCAGGTTGAGCATTTAGGCTGTAGGGATATAGAGGATTTTATTAGAAAAGCTGCAACGGCTCTTCGTCGGATCATTGGTGAAAGCGCCGCTGGACCCATCCGTGCACAACTTCACATCTTTCAACACAAGCAGGCAGAGTCGCAAACACACCAGCAACTTAGCACGCACCAGACAAATTATATGGGTACTTTCCAAAATCAGATCCTGTTTTTGACGGATACCTCGAATAGGTCCGGAATTACGGGAGTAACCCAGATGTTCCGGCAATTCCGTCAAATGCCTTTTCTTGTAACCTGGCCAGAAACCGTATTTAGCCATGTAGGCCGATCCTGGAATGCCCCCCGACCACCATCCGCAGATCTGGAACCCCAAATCCGCCTAGCCTGGTTTAGTGCTTAGGGTATACGGGGTTTGGGTCTAGGGTACAGAGGATGAGGGTTTAGTGTTTAGGGCTTACAGGGCTTAGTGTTTAGGGTATACAGGGCTTAGTGTGTAGGGTATACAGGGTTTAGGGTTTAGGGTACACAGGAATTAGGGTTTAGTGCTTAGGCCTAGGATCCTAAGCCCAAAGACTGGTATCCCTCAACCCCGAACTGGCCAGTCATCATGCTTGCCAGGCACGCCGGCATTACAAGACGGCGCTTTTGTTTCTGGGCCTTGTATTCAGGGTTCTGTGAACATCCCACCTACGCTACTTGCTTTGGTTCCCCCTGAATTGAACTTATTCGGGGCTAGCTAGGGTCAGCTAAGGGCACGCCAAGGGGTGAGCCTAGGGGCGTGGAAAGGGAACCATGATTGTAAGTATTCCCCCGAATCTTCAACACACCTCACCGCCTAAGATTCAATATGCCCAAGACGCTAATGCTTGCTTTTCTGTCCACATTTACTATTTGGGAGTGAGGGTTTAATATTGGGGGGGAAGCACGATCATTTTTCAAGGTTTCGGGCCAGATGATGGAGCGATCCTAGACTTTTGGAGGGATTTATACCAGGGTCAGGGTTTAGGGTTTGGGGTTCGGGGTTTAGGGTTTAGGGCAGTAGTCTGTTAGAAGAGTTGAAGGTGTACATATAGACGTTTTCGAACTAGTCCTTACAATCCTTAGTAGGCCCCACAATCCCCTTATCATTTCTCCGAAGCCAAGCCCTAAACGTTCAACCCTAAATGGTAGTTGCGATTTTCCTTTCCGTTTTCCTTATATAGCCCTTTATAACCCTAAGCTTCTGCTTTGAGAAATCCTATTGCACGAGGTGAGACCCCGTCGTTTCCAAGGCGCCTAAACCCTAACCCCTAGCAGCTATTCTCTAGGATACTATGTACTACCACACACCCGAGCCCCCCCACACTTCAACCCCAACTCTAAACCTTGCGCTCATCCTGGAAGATTAGGAAACTCGCTTTGCGCACTTCTTACCTGCATGTTGTTGAATGGAAACTATGGGGTCTACTATAGGGATGCATGCCTCTTCTTGGTAATAAGAAGCAGCAGCCTTATCCATTGGTTCAGAGAGTTCTCAATAAACCTTAAACCCTAAATTCCTTCCCAGCATGTCTAGAATGAGGTGGGTAATATCTTGGGTTTATGCCTGGACTTCCGTCCTCATCAGAAATCCGGACATGAGACGGAACGGGAACTTTTCAGACATTGACCCCTAAACCCTAAACCCCTAAACCCTTAAACCCCTAAACCCTAAACCCTAAACCCTAGACCCAATATGTACACTTTGGGTCAGATTCTCTATTGCAAAGCCTTGATCGCGTGATCTACAGTTTGCCACGCACACACACCTGCAAAGTGTCTGTCCATTTAAAACAGGATTCCGATGCTCTTTTTAAGACGTACTCTTTGTCCATCCGAACTGCTTGAATCGATTTTAGGGGTTTAGGGTCTAGGGTTTAGGGTTTAGGGTTTAGGGCTTAGGGTTTAGGGTTTAGGGTGTGTCAGAAGCTGACTGCTTGACCCCAAGTTGATCCTAACGATGCCTACCTGAAGCCTGAACAGTGAATTTCCAGATCCCTATTCTTACCCTATATAACCCCAATACATACCCCTTCAATCCCTATATAACCAGAATATAACCCAGGATTTCCGCCTTGACGCACTGGGGGTTCTTCTGGGCGAACACATCAGTGCTCCTGGGGTGGAACTGTCAGGGTTTAGGTCCTCGGGCTGGGGCCTTGGGCTGGGGCCTATTGTACATAGGGGTTATGTAGGGATAATGGGAAAGAAAGTGGAAACTGCTGGGATTATAGGGGTTGAAGGACGGTGATATAGGGATTATAGGGTATCTATTGGGGTTGCTAGGTAGTTATATCATACGAAAAGCCGGTGTCAACTGTAGTAATGGTTATGAAAGACAATCTTGGGCTTTCCCCTACTTCAAGGGGTCAGCATTTTTTTGGGGTTTGCTTTGAGTTCAGCAGCTGCTGTTTGATGGTTGCTTGCGGGCGAATTTTACTGAAAGCCTAGAACCCAGCTAAGTCGGCCACACATCAAACGTCCAAGCTTGGCGGGTCGTGTAGTGGGGAAGGTGTGTTGCTATCAACAGTCATAGTGTTGATACTAAATCCCCACATGCCCTTAGCATACTAGATTTCCACACTTCCCAAGGTGGGTCCTGAGGTTCATTCATTAGCCACCGAAAGCGATTATTTTCATCATCACTGAAGCCGGCGTTTGAACCTTCAACCCGGAACCTTCAACCATAGACCCGGTAAGTTCCAAGTTTCCACCTTCTACCGTGAAGTGACATAGAGCGGTAGTTTGGCTTCATTCGGGTGACTGTATATCAGTTTCATCCATGTAGCAAGAGCAATCTGGGCCAGCTCCCATGCAACAAAGGATCTACATCGCAGAGATCTACGACAATTACGAAAATATTGCCGATGGATGGGTGGGCTACTGGGTTAAGTGGGCGGGGCTGAACTTGCAGTGGCCTCTTGGATGGCAAGCCAGCTCTTATGACTTTGGGCGTTTGGCACTCCGACTTAAGGATTTTAGGAAACCCTACACCCTAAACCCTAAACCGCCAGATGGCATCAAGGATTCTTGGGGTGCATGAGTTCGTAATCCCTTCCCCACATTAGTGGTTTCAGTCATTGCAAGAAGTAGATAGGGCTGCCTTTTGTGTCTTGATTCCATGTAAATTCAATAACTGATTAATTAAATCCGTTAGTGAGTCGCATTATTCCAAAGGATATTGACTCAAGTGAGATTAAATAACTAACTACTTGATTAACTAACCAAACAACGAACTGAACCATTGATGGATGATGCCAGAACCTCCCCCGATTCATTATAATTCGCACTTTTAAACTAGTCTTGGCCTTCAAAAGTGCTCTTGAAGATTTTTACGGCCCTGAAGTTTGCAGATAATATCAGGAGGGGCTTTCAATATTAGGGGGGCCTGATTATTTTCGTTGCTTAGTATACAGCTTTCGGTTTGGGCTTGGGGTCGTCTTACGAGATCCTATACCAGCTATAGTCCAAACTCTTCACAGGGGTTATCTAGAGGATGATATCGGGGAGTATTATAGGGCTTATCAAGGGGGATGCTCGGAGTTTAGACTATAGCTCATGTGTTTTGCAGGAGTTCGGGTCTTCGGGATAGTCTATCCACAGGGTGGGAAAGCTTGTCTCGGGCTTTGAAAAGGTCACCTCCAGACGACTTGGGAACCCCTGCAGACAGGACTCGGCTTGTTTTCTTTTTGAAGTTCCTTTTGCTAGGATCAAGCCCTAAGCCCTAACCCTCATCCCTAAAACCTAAACTTAAAACCTTTAGTGACAGCACACATGGCTGACCTGAGGTCAGTTTTGAGCCCTATTTGCACCTTCGCGTGCCTGTGGCTCCTTTGCGGTAAAGTTCGCGAGGAAACTAAGTTTGAGATGTCTCTGAAGGGTGATTGACCCTTCGGAGATGATGGTCATAGGGAGCGCCCCCTGTGAGCTGACCATGCCCCAGAAAAGAGCGCCTTCTGCTGTGAATGAAGGAATTCAGGATCCCCCAAAGCATTTTACTGAGTTGCTGTTAAGGAACTTGAATTAAGTTACCATAATGGGTGTATATATATATATAGTAAGTACGTGGGTTTCCCTAATATAGCAACTGAAATTCAATTCCTTAGCAGCAGCCCAGTTTTAATTTGAAGGGGTAAAGGGGCAGAGGGTGGTGCAAGATTTCCTCCAGGCCTTTCACTTCGTCTTAGAGCGTGTTGGGGGTCTGCTTTCGCGAGGCCATAGGCAGCTGAAAGTTCCGACTGTCCCTTCGTGTACTTCCCTCCTCAACCCTAAACCCTAAACCCTATAGAGTGTAGGGTTCCGGTTCTGCAATGTCTAACGGCACACTAGGAAGAACATGAAATGAACACCGGGTCTAAATAGACGATTCTAAAGGGAAGTCCTCGCGTCAACATAATCAAATTCCCTAGCCCTTGGGAGAGCCTCACCACTTTGTATACCTCCAAACCCTGCAGGCTTCAATCCCCAATCTTCTTCAACTCTAGGCCCTAGAGTTTCGGGCTTTGGATTTAGGGTTTAGGGTTAGGGATTATAGGCTTAGCTTGACCTTTCCCACACCTCCTCAGAAAGTAGTTGCCGGACGCTAGAACAAGGGTTTCGACGCTGACTCTGACGCCGGCATTTCAGCGAGTCAGAAGGTGTCGCAGGTTTTTTGGCAGGGCTTCCGGAGGTTAGGGCTCAGGGTTTAAGGTATCAGGAGTTTTTCAACACACCAACCGCATGGTATGAAACTTGTAGCCTCAATCCGCAACCCTAACATGATAAAGTCCTGAACATGGGAGGCCTGCACCAACATGCAGCTGAAGTTGTGATGATGAAGCCTGGCAACTGTACAGACTTTTGGAGTTTCCCCCCAAAATAGGGTTCCAGTAGTTTTAGAGTTCTAGAGGGCTTACGCGGAGAGGTGCCCCCACTGATCCTTGGGACCTGTAGTTGGCACTGTGTGGAACCCATTTTTTGACGGACGGTACTCCCGGTAGTCTTTGTAAACCCCTTTCTTGGGTTCCACGTTAGTTTGGGGGATGGTATTTTTTTGAATCTTCAACTGCGATGTGCAAGACTGGCACTGCACCAGTTTCCTATGGGCTTAGTGTTGTTGGGGGAAACCTGGCACCACCTAAGATCCCTAAACGCCTAAGTTACTGTAAATTTCTAGGCCTGGGGTGGGCGTACTCAGGGTCGTGCGGGATTTCCTCCATTCACAGGCATTCACTTCTTGCTTTAGTTCCTTAGTTCCTTTTGCGTTTCCGGGATGGCTTGGGCGCAGCATTAACGTGTAATATTCCAAATGGCACCTGCAACAGAGCATGCCGTTAGACTGATGAAAATGAGGGGGGTTTCCCAAAAACTCTATATTGGGAAGCTACCAGACGACCTTGCTGCTGCTGCTGCTGATGCTGATGATGATGATGACACTTCGTTTCGAGATTGATTTCGACGACAGACAGGGCCTTTCATGGAGCCGCCCGAAGAGAATCCTTTTACAAACTTCCACCTTGGGAAGAAGCCGGATCCTTTCTAACGTGTCGCCAATAGTGACTGCCACCCTAAACCCTGGACTCCAAACCCTGAACCTTACAACCTGAACCTAAGCCCTCAACCCTAAAAAATGAGAAGCCGCATATAGGTAGACTTTATCCTGGACTTCTTGCCCGAGTCTCTGTTCAGGGTTTAGATCTGGGGATTCACAGTGCGTGTTGGACCCTAACCTGAAACCCATGACCTCACTTTCAGGAACGCTGGAGACATCCGTGGTCGAGCTGATTATGAGCCTGGACCATTTACCCTGGATGACCTCTACAAAGAGATTGCTTTCGATGAGGCCTTTGCTCAATGCTTTAGGCTTCGTAGTTTTGAAGACTTGCTGGGGGTTAGTAGGGAATATGGGAGAATAATCCCCATATAGTCCTGATGTACTTATATATTCCCTTTTTCCCTCCCAACCCCCAGTAAGAAGAGGTGTTCGGTCTACCCAATAATTACCCTATAATCCCCATATGCGTCCACCCCCAAGCAAGTGGGGAAGCCCTTATTAAGTCCTATTTTACAAGGGCTCTAGTCTTCATCCCTTAGCCCCAGCTTCTTCTGGGCTTTCATGAGGGTTTAGGGTTCAGGGTTTAGGATTTAGGGTTTAGGATGTACGGTTTAGGTTTAGGGTTTAGGGCTTAGGATTTAGGATTTAGGGTTTAGGATGTAGGGGTTAGGATTCAGAGGTTTGGGTTTAGGATTTAGGGTTTAGGGTTTAGGATGTAGGGTTTAGGATTTGGGGGTTTAGGGTTTAGGGTTGCAGGTGTTGTGGCAGCTTGGTTGAGGAGGCGGGATGCTGAAGTTCCTTTTCTGCTGTGGGTCAGGGTGCCTGGGGCTAACAACAATAAGAATACGACTGATAGTAATTCGTATCAATATCAATAGTCACTTAATATTGTTAAACAATAAGAATGACGTCAAGATCGATACCAATAGCATTAAACAATTGAATCATCTTTGTAATGACTAATACTGCTAATACTCAAGTTCCAGACGGCAATGCCTTAGTTGGTTCCGTATTGAGATGTTTTTGGCAATGGTACTTTCATATTCATTACTGTATTTATACCTGCATGAAAACCGAAAACTGGGACTGCTCTACCAGCTGCAGTCAAGGGCCCCTCAAGAAGGTTCGCGTCAAGACGCACATCCAGCAGGTTTGTTCGGCCCCACCCTGAACCCTGCGACATGCAATGGTAGTTTAAGGCAAGTCTGATTAGGTTCAAGTACGACCCGTGGGAGAGCGTTGGCCATGTTTTCTTGCCGTTTCTTCTAGGGAGTGGGTGTAATTTGTGTTGATAGCGGCTGGTAGAGGATTGCATGGGGGTCCTGTTTTCAGCCTAATTCCCGAGTCGAGAGCTCATAGCAAATCAGAGGTTCCAAATTACGGTCCCTTTAGGCGTGCTGTGCAAAGTAGCTCAAAAAAACTGACCCTAATTTCAGCTGTGGCTCCAAGGGGCAAAAGGTGCGAAAGTCAACAAGTTGGAGTTAAAGCATCGGGCCTCAAAAGCCGAAAAAATCAGGACCCACCAGAATTTCAACAGTCCCAAAAAGTTGAAATACTCAAAAAACAACAATTAGTTTTGTCAACTCGACAAGGCAGCTCAGGATGCTAAAAGTCAGAAAAGGTGAGAAGACGCAGGTCCAAAAAGCCCTGAGGAATTGAAAGCCCGACTCATTGGGTGTACCCTTTTTGGGGACCCAGTAATAAGGACTATAGTATTTGGGTGTCTATAATGGGGTTCCCTATTTTATGGAAATTACCACGCATGACATGAAGGCCAATGGGTGGGGCTGCTTTACAAATTTCTAAGAATTAGGGGTTCCTTTTTGGTGGTACCTATAACCCACCCTAAACCCTAATGCGGCCTGTAACATTTTGGGGGTCTGTAAGGGGGTCCCCAGTTTTGACGCAAGTGCCACATCAGTCCAAACTCAAGTGCCGTGCTTGCGCTCCTCAGCAGTGATGCCGCAACCCTCCGCTTCAGCTTCTTCTTTAAGAGCCCTTGGGATGGCTAATGCAACAGTAGCCTTGTAGAATCAGGTTCCGTCAGAGTGCTGTTGATGGAAAAGTCTTGCATCATCTAGGGCTCTCGGATGTAATAATTCGAGGGACACGGGGAACTTAATTAGGTTCATGGTTTAGGGTTTAGGGAACTTAATTAGGGTGGTGAAGGATTTGCTCCATCAACAGTATCCGCGGCAGGAGATGGCCGTGGTTCCGATGAAGGGCTCCGTGATTGCGGAAGCTGTGAAGTTCTCAAGGAAGCCCGACGGTATGGTGATTTTGGAGTTGGCCGTTTGGGGGTTTCGGGCAGTTTCAGGGATTGTTCAGGGGCTTAGAGGTTTAAGGGATTTAGGGCTTCAGGGACTTGAAAGTTTGGAGATGGAAGCTTTAGGGGTGCATGGGTCAAGTGGCAGCGGCGGTGCAGGGGTCTAAGGGTTCAGGGTTTGGGAGATCGTGGTTTCTGATTTTTGGGTTTACTGACCCAGGGAAGTCCTTCGGGTGCAGGCGTTTGCTGCATACCCTAAACCCTAAACCCCAGGCCATTTCTTTTCTGAGTAGTTTCATTGTGCTGCGCATGCTTTTGCTGAGTTTGGGAGTGCGACTACATACAGTCTCCAACTGCATCGGAACAAACCCCACGCCCTAAACCCCAAACCCCAAACACTAAACCCTAAACCCCAAACCCAAGGCTGGGCTCCGACCAGAAGCCTGGCTTTCTACAACTCGACGCAGACTGCAGCACTGATGCAGACTTTTGGCATGCTACCTACATAGGGTTTTACGGGTCTAGGGTTTTACGGGTCTAGGGTTTTAGGGTTTAGGGTTTAGGGTTTAGGGTTTTAGGGTTTAGGCTTCAGGGCTTAGGGTTTAGTTTTAAGGGTTAAGGATTTACAGCTAAGGGTTTAGGGCTGAGGACTACCTAAACTCCTGGAAACTAACATGGAAACCCAAAAAGGGCCCTATAAAGACTACAGTCCTTCTAAAAGGGGGCTATGTATTGGTTTCCATGTCAGTTTGGGGGAGTGTAGGGCTTAGGCTTCAGGGCTTAGAGTTTAGGTTTAAGGGTTTAGGGTTAAGGGTTTAGGGTTTGGGGTTTAGGATTTAGGGTTAAGGGGTTAAGGGTTGAGGCATTAGGGTTTGGGGCTTGAGGTTGGGGTTAAGGGCTTACCGTTAAGGGTTAAGGGTTTAGGGTTTAGGGTTTAGGATTTAGGATTCAGGGCTAAGGGTTCAGGGTTTGGGGTTTAGGATTTAGGGTTTAGGCTTAGGATTTTGGGTTTCAGGGCTTTGGGTTCAGGACTTAGGGTTTAGAGTTAAGTTTAGGGTTCAGGGCTTAGGGTTCGAGGTTTCGGATTTT